GACTAGCTGCCTGCCCTCTAGTCTTACACTGCTAAATTAAGGACGGCTAGCGCAGATAGCCCTCGTGTAGCTTTGCGCGAAATTCAAAAACAAACAAACAAACATTATTCCACAAATTATTCGAGTGGGGTAACATGAATTCTACCCCGGAGACCATGACGGCTCTGGCCTCTCTGATTGTGAATAGCTCTGAACTACAAGATCAACAATATATATATATATATTCACACAAACAGCTGTTTTTCAACACATACCAGAATATTTAAAGTTTCCTTTTCATAATTGCTTTTAAACTTCGTTAGTATGTTTGTATATTTTTATACTGTGAAATATTTGGTGAAGCGGAAAACGCTTGATTGAGGAAATATTTCATTCTATGTGCAGCACATGCATTTGGTGTGGACTGTTTAATAATAATATAAACAACGCACTTTTCGTTATATATGGTATTCTTATTGAAGTACAGGTAATATATTTACATATTTTACTAAAGTGACGTCGTAACTTCTACCAAAATGGTTTAGTATGAATAGAATAGTTATGAATAATGTCAAACATGAGCGAAATTGTAGAAAATTTGTATTGTTAGGTATCATAAATGATAACAGAAATCGGGTGTGTTTGTTTAGTGAATATCACGTGATCGCACGAGACTGATGACTCATTTTAAAGCTTTCCACGTGGTCTTCCAGTGAGCTAAAGCCCGACGACTGAGTCATCGTAGCAGATGCGTGTTGGCGACAGAACGACTTATATATATATATATATCTTATTAGTCTGTAGGTTTTTCAATTTTATTAGTTCAGGTCAATAACTGCTTTGTCCGAAGAAGTCGCTGAGATTTTTTCTTATGCATGTATACAAAAATAAAAAAAAACTAGACAATTTTCAACATCAAATTTATCCAGCAAATGCTAACTTTTCTTGTTGTTAAGTCGAAATACATTTTATTTTGGGCAGGCTTTAATAACATAATTGCCTGCTTCCTCTTATAACTTGTCGCTAGCATTTCTGAGACAATGTAATGCGTCATGCGTTTTGGTTACGCCAATTTCATGCGTTATGCAGTAAGGTAAAGACTGAGGAGGAGTAAAAAATAAATCTCCTCAACGTATACAGTAACTAATAATACACCGGTTAATTGTTTGTCGGACGAAATAATGTCATTTAACACCAACAATAATTACTACGACACAGGACCTAAGTTTTTTGTGTGCTTGTTTTTAATACCTTTTCGATTTGGTGCCGAGATAAAAGTAAAAGACAGTACTAAAAACTAGGATTTGTTCGTAAAAGATAAGATACCACATTGACAACTGTGTTTAATCACAAAAGGTAAGATACTACATTGACAACTGTGTTTAACCATAAAAGGTAAAATACTACACTGACAACTTGATTTGATCACAAAACGTAAAATACTACACTGATAACTTGGTTTGACCACAAAAGGTAAAATACTACACTGGTAACTTGGTTTGACCACAAAAGTTAAAATACTACACTGATAACTTGGTTTGACCACAAAAGGTAAAATACTACACTGATAACTTGGTTTGACCACAAAAGGTAATATACTACACTGACGACTTGATTTGATCACAAAACGTAAAATACTACACTGGCAACTTGATTTGATCACAAAACGTAAAATACTACACTGGTAACTTGGTTTGACCACAAAAGTTAAAATACTACACTGGTAACTTGGTTTGACCGCAAAAGGTAAAATACTACACTGATAACTTGGTTTAACCACAAAAGGTAATATACTACACTGACAACTTGATTTGATCACAAAACGTAAAATACTACACTGATAACTTGGTTTGACCACAAAAGGTAATATACTACACTGACAACTTGATTTGATCACAAAACGTAAAATACTACACTGACAACTTGATTTGATCACAAAACGTAAAATACTACACTGACAACTTGATTTGATCACAATTGATAACAGACAGTATTTACACATCCAAGTAAATCTAGTGCTTACAAACTCGAGTTAATTACTAATAGCGAACAGTATATTACACACCTGAAGCTTCATTGTAGTACACGTTGATTCTCTCTAACTGCAGGTCCGAGTCTCCATGGTAAATTCCAGTTGGGTCGATACCATGCTCGGCAGATATCACCTCCCAGAACTGTATAAAGAATTAAGCACATGTCACGTAGTCTTAACCCTCAAATTACTAAGCGTGCAGAAGAACTTACCGGTATGTTTGCATGTACTGAGTATTTTATTTTTGTTTATCTTAGTGGAAAACAACTTACTAAAATATTGGGAAGTGAAATCATTTATTTTCAACAGTAACTAGGGAGTTTAAATGTAATATTGATGACATTTTTGTACGATTTTGTGTTTAACCGACAAAGTTAGGGACTCGCATGCCATTTAATTTAAATGTGTTTAAAAAGCCGTCTGTGTCTATGAACCCAGTCGGGGGGCCAGGTGGTTAGGGCGCTCGACTCGCAAGCTGAGGGTCCCGGGTTAGAATCCCCGTCCCACCAAACATGCTCTCCCTTTCAGCCGTGGGGGCGTTATAAGTGACGGTCAATCCCACTATTCGTTGGTTAAAGAGTAGCCCAAGAGTTGGCGATGGGTGGTGATGACTAGCTGCCTTCCCTCTAGTCTTACACTGCTAAATTAGCGATGGCTAGCGCAGATAGCCCTCGTGTAGCTTTGCGCGAAATTCAAAACAAACAAACAAACAAACTTTTCAAACCCTAGCCCCTATTGTTCTCAAAAACCCCACCTTCCCAAGAGATCCACTTCTCAAGCCATGCCTGTTATTAATCCCTATTGTTCTCTGAATCCTCTACTTTCAGCGGATGGTCAGTTTTTGTTGCTCGGAACATGTTTTTTTTTATATATAACTAAACCATTTATTGACTGTAACTTTCAGTACCGCGTAAGTTGCCACAAAGATTAGGGCTTAGACGCCTAACTTCGACACTTAGCCGGAACCGAGTATTACCGGGTAGTCCAATACCCCGCCGGGTACCCGTGCATCTCTAGTAATTACTAAACTTTTATGAACTAAAATAATCAAGAAATCATCTAGGCCACTTTTCTGTCGTTTTGCACTATTGATTAGTCAGGAAACTTTAATACGTTTCTCGTATGACACGTTATTCTCCAAAAAACAAATTTTCCTGTATAGAAATCTGTGTCGATACCTTTGACAACGCTGAAACAGAAAGAAGTGTTTTTTAAATGAACGAGCATCTATATGAAAATTACTTATATGTTTTTAGTTACAGCATTCTTTTACAAGCACTAGACCTCAATCTTGAAGTTTGTTTTAATAGCCTAGTGTAAATCCACGTGGCAGGAAAATAATGTATGTATATATATCATCATGTAAAAGAGAAAATAAAATGATACAACAGGAATATATACGAGTAAGAGTTTCATGTAGAGAATGAATGGTCGACTGACTTGATCACGTGAAGTTTGAAATAGCTACGAGATTTCGGCATTGTTTTGTCAACAACACAAGGAAATGCAACTTCACATTCCAAAGTATCGTCCACTTAACAACTTCAACTGTTTATATTTTTGCATCCCCCCTCCACAGAAGAGTACATCAACAACACTTAAGCAGCATTTAACAGTTAGGGGATGAATCATCAATTAAAATGGTGCCAGAACAAGATTCGAAAACCAACTCTAAATATATATATATTATAGCACATGAAGTGATTTCTTTCACATATCAAAGCTAAATATTGCTCGTTGACCAATCCTGGTAAATGCCTGCAACTGTTCAGTTGAAACTAGCACCTCTTTTTCACGAGCGAGTATTTTTTATCAGCAAATTTTGCTTTTATGGAAATTTATTTAATAAAACTCACTTGTAAGTTAAAACAAATGTGGCAACATTGAAAACAGGTGATCAACACTCAACAAATAAGCCAATACTTAGCTGTATGATGTAACCTATTAGTCATGATAACGCAATATAATGATTTAAATATAGTCTGGTGCAATAATGCCCATGTGTCACACTTCGACTTAGTTTCAGTAAAAAGTGTAAAAACTGAAAAAAAAAGGAAGTAATAAAAATGTAGAGTGATGTTCGTTCACCCAAAGATGAGTACAGTAATTTAATCAACTTTTTCCTCCTCGGAAAATGATAATTAAACTTAAAACAAACAACAAAATATAATGCTTCAGTTTAGTATAAGATATTACTTTCAAATGCTGTACCAATATAACATTTTATGCTTTTTTTTCGCACTCTATAGTGTACAATTGCGAACATCTAGACTCGGAATCAAAACTATAATTTACAAAAAAAGAAAATGGTGCCAGAACTCGGTGCCATATTGGATACGAAAAGGTGTGGAAAGTATCATACATCCAGCTACGGCTTGTTGACCTTGATATGTGAAAACATTTGGGCGCAGACGCAGACTTTAGGTTGTTCAACTCGAGGATATACGCTCAGCCAAGACTTAAGAATGTAGTAGAAATATAACGAGCCTCGTTAATAGGTTCAGGATGCTTCCACAATTAACTCGCAAAAACTCACAGAAGTTCTATATTTTCTGTTAAACACAAAACCAGTAATTTTTATTAGTTTTCTTCATCCAATCCACCATTTTACTTTACTTTCAGAATTTGTTCGGTGATATTTATGATTTTACTTTTGCCAAAAACAGTGTGATCACTTGGAAACACACAGAATTGTATTTTGAAATAGCCATAAAAACAAACAAAATATTCAAAACTGTTATTAACCATCAATTTCTGTTATTTACTCAATTCATACTGTTTTATCCAATAACATGTGAGATACAATTATCTACATTATTATCGGTCGGAAAAAAAAAGATACTAAGTTTGAATAAAATAAAATAATTAACTCCACTATTTACCTTAGCTCCAATTTGGTTTCCACATTGACCAGCCTGAACGTGAACAATCTCCCTCATTTCAATTTCTTGTTGCTTTCGTGCTTTACCAGATTATAATGTTGCACAGTAGAAAACGTCTGTTATAGGATAAGTATAACTTTGTGTGCCTAGTGCGCATGCGTATATTTATTTCAGAAAATCTACGTGATTGGCCAAAAATGACCTGTAATCAACCCCTTTTTCTTTTTGAAACACTAATCTTTATACTGAAATTAAATAGAACATATATGGTCTTTTTTATTACGTGTTCTTTTTTTCCCCCATTTACATTAGTCAGCACTTTATAGTGAATATTCTTTAATATTTTAGTAAGTTTTGACGACATGATGCCACTCCCCCTCCTTTCCAAAAAAAGCAGTTGCTTAGAGCTATATTTTCTACTCAGCTGTTGAAATTACGTTTTCACATAGAAAGCTGTGTTATAAACAGACCTGAATTCAATCAGAATTCGGTTAATGGTATTTAGTATATATATCATAATATGATATGACTGAGTTGCGGATAGCTGTAGTAGAGTCCAAAAATCATATCAAGTTCCCCCACTGACTTATCTTCAATTATTTCGTTTTAGTTGATATAATAGACGTGTTATTTTCCTCTCTCTCTTGTAAACAACCAAAAATATAGTTGATATAGAACATAAATTTAAGTAATTAAAGTACCTCTTTAAAAAAAACTTATCTTTTTTTGTGTATACTGCAGAAAAACGTAAATTTCACTTACTATTCGGAAAGATTATGTACTGAGCTGTTGATTCGATAAGAATAGCTCTAATATTGTGACGACTAAAGAAATAAGCAGATCGTTTGAATGAAACTAGAGCGAAATATTACAGATACAGTAGTGTGTGTATGTGAAGACTATGTTTGTAAAAGAAGTAATGTACTTTAAATGTAAAGCTTTTCATCATGTTCACCCAGATTTTCTTGTAGTAGCAAACAGGGACGTTATAATGTAGCTTGTCGTATAAACGAGAGTCACAAATAATACACGGTTTATCGTAGCTAAGTTAACTTTGGAAGTTAATAACAATTGGGAATGAATACTATGAAATTCGACTGAAAAAATAAAGTCAGAAAGGCGCATCTTTAACTGAATAACAGATACGACTTACAGCATTCGTTGAGTTCGTCATCCATATCAATGTTGTAAAAAGGAAAAAAAAATGTTTATGGAATTTCTATTGGATGGCATTTCCTAGGTCATCAAAAACGCTTCATCACTGAAAACCCACGAAGTGTATCACTACGCAGCAGTATGTCCTTAATATTACACCAACATTGTTCTGCTAAAAGATTTCACAAGGCTTGTCTCGTGTTGTCAGCATGATGATTATGTCGCTGAAAACTAATGTGTTTGGCTCTGTATATATTTCTTTTATTCAAGATCATATGCAAATCAGCTGATGGTAACACCCCTATAACAAAGCATATTTTCAGTGGATTCTTGAAATACACCCCTACTTATATTAAATCCCACCTTCCATTCGTCTAAAAGCTCGTTAACCTTCTGGAACTCTAATTTATGCCCCGAGTTATTTTATAACGTTTAACACGCAAAGCAGTTTTATCAGATATTTTATTATGCTGATAAGAGTTACTGTTCAGTTTTGATAGTCCTATTTGTATTTCTCAAATGAAATTCTTTTGTTGGCAAGAAAAATAATAATTATATTTTATAATAAACGAATTATTGTATAAGGTATCCCCCCATCCGGTAGGTCAGCGGTAAATTTCCGGACTTACAACGCTAAAGTCCAGCGTTCGATTCCCTACGGTGGACAGAGTACAGAAAGCCCATTGTGTAGTTTTATAAAGCTGCTCGCAGTTCCTAATTTATTTATCTGCTGAATGTATGTATTATCAAACGAAGACTGTATACACATAAGTATTATCTTTCTATGCGTTTGTCAACAGGTCTTGTCATGGCCAGGTGGTTAGGGCTCTCGACTCGCAATCTGCGGGTCGTGGGGTCGAATCTCCGTTCAACCAAACATGCTCGCCCTTTCAGCCGTGGGGGGTGGTATAATGTGACGGTAAATCCCATTATTCGTTGTTAAAATAATAACCTAAGCGTTGGCGGGCAATATTTAGCGTTAAAATATTGTTCTAGCTTATTAGTAGGTTTGCTGTCGGGAAACAGATTGCGTTATATTTTGGTACAAAAGATGGCAAGAGCAAGCAGGGGCACACACCCCACACTTATTTTTGTGCATATGATGTATATGTTTATATATATATATAAAATGTATGTGTGTGTTTGACATAATCCCCCCCCCCCCCCCAGTAGCGATCAAATTTAAAATCATGCGCACGGCCTCAAGAGATGGGTATTTTCAGAGTATAGTTTGCAAATGCAAAAAAAATCACAGAAAATTCTTCAAAGTTTTAAAGATAAACATAATTCTATATTTCGATTTTGACGATCGACAAAAATAGTTTGTACTTTTTGTTATTCATAAAAGTACAACTTTATTCATACGGCAGTGGTTGGTACCTTGTCATCCAAAAGTTTGAAATCTTTAATCAGATTAAAACACTTGCATAATTATTAAATATTTAAGATAGTACTTCAAGATACTTCTCATAGTCACTTTACAAATTATATATATTATTCTTTAAGTTTTTTCAACATTTGCGGTCATAGTAATTGATACTTATCCTTAAGTAACGGATAAGAATGTTAAATGTCAAACAAAATCTAATTAACCATTTTTATGTTCTCTGCTGATAATAAGAACAAGTGTTACTCTATGTACCTGGAGAATCAGGCGTGGCCTAGTAGCTAGCGTGCTGGACAATAGATATGTGGATTCATAGTTTGCATTTTTGAAGAACCAAATATTGCTCTCCTCACTTTGGAGCCTTGTCTGCATTATAAGACTACCGGTTAAAGTCCATTATTCCATTAGAGTGGTCGACGAGTTTTTTGTTCGTGCTGTTGACTAGTTCAAAATTATGGACTGCTAGCTCAGATATCCCTTGTGTTGCTCTGCGCGAAAACAAACCAAATTTGTGTGGATGAGAATATACACTTACTATCGTGATATGCAAACATATAATATTTTATACTTGCCTTAGATGTATAGAAATGTTTTGGCTATTTAGATTCCATGCTGTAATGGCGGCAATATGTGGTCCAGAGAGCCTTTGAGATTGACTTGTTGTGGTTGCTTTTTTTTTTCTCTCTAAAGTCGATAATGTCTTTTCTGCCTATGAGGATATTGCAGTAACATATAGCAGCTGGGTTGAAAGGAGTAACTGTAATATCCTTTAATGGCCGAGTTCACGTTATCTAAACGATATAGCCGACTAGTGATATGACAGAACAGAGGTTGCGAGGTGGCGCTGTTGACTGGACAAAGAAAACGAGTTTACCTGTCGAACTTAGGCACACTTTCTTTAGTCACTTATAGTAGGATATCATCGATGAAGACATACTCCAAGAACACAGTGTTTTAGTTCTGTGAAGATTAATTCTGAGGGTAAGAAAAACGTGGAGCTGAACACAGCCTAGTCGAAGCGACTGTCATTCCATCTGCACAAGTACGCATACTGTACTTTCGTTTTCTTTTCTTTTTTGATTCATTAGATGTCACCATAATTCGAAGTGGTCAGTTTGAGAGTACAGAAACAAATGTCATACAGAGCTTCATTGTCAATACAGAAGGTTTCATCTGTGTTTTCCACAAGCAAGTGGACAGAAAGAGTAGCTAAGGTTCCACAACTGTGTCAGAAATCTACAAAGTAAAGAATGTACACAGTAAAGTTGAATCATTTTTTTGGTTGTGAGCAATAATTACAAGTTCAAATACAAAATAAAAGTCTATATTGTCACGTGATATTTAAGAACTATAATTAGTGATAAACCTATTACATTTATACTAAAACACATGTTGTACAGACATGACATCGTTCCATCAATCATCTGTAATAGGCGATTTATGTCTGGATTATATTAAAGTTAAAGCAGTTTAAATCACTTTTGGAGATGATACAACAATTAATGCAAAAGTACTTATCACCGTATATGTTGTCATGAACTTATGGAACATATTTTTTCTGTATGTAAAGTTAGGGTACTAAGAAAGAACAAGTATAGTTTTTATTATACTTTTTTCATACTTTCAACGAAGGAACACACACATTCAAAACTAAAACCACAAGGATATTTTACAATCACCTTTGGAGATGGCATAACACTGAAAGTGTTCATAATCCTATCGGGATATTCCTCCCAAATCTTGGAGATCATTCCAGGTCCAATGAGCCAACTGGAAACCCTGGAAAAAATCACAACTTTCTGATTCTTTCCTCATAACATCTAGGACAACTAATTTAGCATCATCAGTGTAGTGACCTTTAGCCCAGTTGTTTCCTGCCCCGCTATGACCTGTATAATGTTAAGAATCAATGGAAAATGGAGAACGTACTTACTGTTTTTCTGTTATTTTTATTCATAATAATTTTAATTAAGTTTCATAAAAAAATAAAACTCAATTTTTACTGAGTTGTAAAATATTTGTTCCCATGTGCTTGTTTGTTTGTAGGTAAGCATAAAGCTACACAATGAGCTATCTGTGCTCTGCCCACCGTCTGTACCGAAACCCGGTTTCTATCGTTGTAAACATTTGAAGCAAAATATTGTCATAAAATTTGCCTTATATTAGTGATATATATGTATAAAAAAACTAAAAACGTTCTTAAGATTTTTTAATGTGGTCCATTGCTAGACTCGCCATTAATGACAGGATAACTTGACTTATAAGTTTATAGACTTGTATTTGTTTTTTATAGTGGCTCAGTGATGGGGCTTATAACGTTAAATTCAGAGTTCGAGCCCTGCGGTGCGTAAAACGCAGATAGTCCGTTGTGCAGCTTCACGCTTGAAATAAGCAAATAACTTATTTTTTTTTCTATATAGTCATTAATCAGTTTCTTCCTGTAGGAATTCTGAATATTGATTTTCCTGCATTAGAAACGAAACAAATGCAGAAACAAAAAATCGATATTAACTAATAATTGAAGTGATAATTGGTCATATTAGACATAATGAATGTGCAATGAAATCACTACTTTACTGTAAAAATGTGTTGACGTTTATCTTATGATAACTCTTAGTCAGTGAGTGCATTAATTTTCCGAATATTATTTGTAGACCGAAAATATTTGATTAGGCACAAATAAGGAAAGTACTGTAGTTTGTGTGATTTTAAGCTGTAGAGAACCGTTAACTTTTATTGGAAAAAACATTCACGATTATATGTATGACATTATATAACATGTCGAGTGGTGTGTTCCCCAGTTTAGAGTCAAAGTTTCACTATATTAGGTTAGTAGGATTACTGTAGGCCATGATGTAAGTGGAACGAACCTTAAAAGGCATTCTGAGAAGCTACCCAGCTGATACTAGAAAACTTTAACTGAAACTGGTTCTTAATGTTGACGATACACCCAGTTAAAACCCCATGTTAGTGTACCAGGTGGTCCACCTACGTAAATTGGTTTCAAGTATATATATAGTTTCTTAGCTTAAGGTTAAGCATAAATACGTCATAAAAACTTGTATTATTTGAATCATGGTAGTAAGTCACTTATGAGGACATTAAGTTCAGTACAACAGTTTTGTTTTTGTTTTTCCTGGAGGAATAATCTGTTTTGCGAATAGCTCATGGAAGAGTTTTCTTTTTCAAGGCTAGAATCAAGAAATGACTTAATTGAATAATTAATTCAAAAATACAATAACAGCAGTTTTTACAGTAGGCAAGTTCTAATTTTAATAATTACAACGTTTCGACCCATGATATCGAGTCTTTATCAGGTCGAAACGTTGTAACTATTAAAATCAGAAGTTGCCTACTGTTAACGTTGCTGTTATTGTCATTTTTGAAGTAATCCAATAGATAATTTGTATGTTGCAACACTGTTACCTTAGAAACGAGTTGTACAATGATCCGACATTCGAAAAATATTTTTACTGCGTGCAGTAAAACTTGATATTGTTTTATTTTCTTTACTACTTTACTCTTCTGTGTTCAGCCATCAGTCGGTTGTTATTGTTTAAAGACATGAAGTTTAATTTTATTGTTTGTACGTTCAAACTTACAACAATCAATCTGAGAAATTTCCAGCCGTGACGTCATGCGAATTTATATACGATGATTCATGCGAGGGTATCTATAATTCACATACATATAACAATACATTTATATACGAAAGACGTGTTCGAGATGCCTTTCCGCTTTTTGTTTTACAGTCTAATTAGTTTGTGCACTGTTCAGAACTTTTCTTAATAGCAGGAACTATTTACGTATATTTTTTATTCCATAAAAAGCTGAAGGGCACTACTTACTAAAGCAACTGACTTTCATCTTGTGAATATGACCAAGACCGATAGAGTTCGATAGTATTTATCTCAGTGAGTTTTCTTCCCTCTAAAGTGATAATAATCTTTTAAAAGAGCTTCAACCGCCAGACAAAAACCAAACATTTTGTGTTTAAGTTCAGGTCAAATCCGAGGTTCTTACTATTCTTTTCTTGGGGAAAAAGTTATATCACAACTAAAACCAAGCGAGTTAAAGAGATTATGTACTTTTAACGTGCTTTAACCAATAATAATGATAATAACCATCTTATTTGTTTTAATATAAATTTTATTATTTCAATCTGCCTCAAGCCGTAATGAACACATCGTTCTTCCCCCAGTCCTTCTTAAACTTACACAGCAGATTTATAAAGAATCTCACTTATTAGTCTGACTCGTTAAATTGATTTAAACTGAAGCATCATTGTAATACACGTCCATTCTCTCTAACTGTGGGTTTGAGTCTTCGTGGTAAATTCCTTGCTCATCAGAGGTCTCTTCCCAGAACTACGAATTAGTACACTCGATTAGGGTATGTAATATGTAACAGCAAGAGTTTCTTTAGCTAGAAAATTCAACCTAAAATAAGAGAGCTGCCTTTGTTTGGCTTGTAATTCCGAGGCCTTTAGCCACTGTGACTGTACTGTGAAGGGATGCTATAATAGTCTGGTATCTTAATACTATCAGTTAATTTATTAAGAATATTTCGTAAATCAGTTTACAAACGCTGGAGCTTCGGTAAAAATACACTCAGTTTTGTTTGTTTTTTCTGAAGAATTCTACTATTGACGTTAACGATAGTTTTTGCCTGAAGTTTAGCCACACATAAAATGTTTTGACCACTGTGGCTAAAGGATGTAAATATTGGTCATCAGAACTTTATTGTCAAACTATATATATACATACACACATATATAAATGGTAACACGCTATATTAGTACAAGTGGCAATACGTTTTATTATCCCTAAGTCAAAGAAGTAAAAACAGATGCTAACGGGGATACAACAGAACTGTAATTTTTGATCTTCGAAAGACATTTAGTTTCTCTTGATGAATCACATTAATCTTAATAACAAAAGTCTACAACTTTATATTGAAAATATTTAAAGTCAAGTTTTTATATGGCTGTTGATTTCGGAATTTTACATACTTAACCATTCCTTATTGTTTTGTTAAGTTAAGGTCAATGGGCGATTTTTTTTTAAACAACAAGGCGTATTCAATTTTTGGATGCAATGAACAACGCTTCCGGTTATAAGTTGAAATTGAATCCCAGCGTTGTCTCTCAGTTTCTGAAATTTTTTAGAAAAAAGATGTTTCAAAGTAAAGCAAATAAAGAAGAAGACGTGAAGTAACTCTAAACGGGCAATATCTTTCACTTCAATATACGAAACCAAATTACAATAAATGACGTCAGATTATACTAAAATGAAAATACTTTGTCTAGGATACTTATTAACTGCCTTATATAATGTCCTAGGATAGGATATGAGCGTGAATCTTTTCGAACGTGGAAAAGGCTTAGCTACCATATACTAAGGACATTATATAAGGCAGTTAATAAGTATCCTAGTCAAAGTATTAACACAAGCACTAAACCGAGCAGAAACAGACCCATTAGGATAGGAAATGAGTGTGAATCTTTTCGAACGTAGAAAAGGCGAAGCTACCATATACTGATGGGTCTATTTCTGCTCGGTTTAGTGCTTGAGTTGTATTGCAGGTTGATACCATTAGTATTAACCCTATAGCAAGATTACTCATTTTATTATGCCACGGTATTGTATACAATAATTACTTTATTTTATATAGAACTTTGGATCATTAACGGGAGTAGCTTATCACATATTAGAGGAAATGACTGGTTCTTAGTTTTCAGAAAATATATTTTCATTAAGTATAACTAGTAATGAGACACTTTAATAATCTTTATACACATTCTACAGCCTACACATTTCTATTTTTAGTGTCTTTTCACCCTGTAAAACTCTTATTCATATTACATATGTATCATGAACAGTTTATAAACTTATTAATACTTCTGAAAAGTCATTTACTATTCAACTAGAGTAGCAAGGATATACCATAGACACCAATAACTAAGAAGTTGTAATATCTTATACCTGTGGTAACAAGGATATATCATATATACCAGTAATTTGTAATTTATTATACCCGTAGTAACAAGAACATGTCAACGATACCAGTAACTAGGACGTAATAAGCACGTGACTTTTCTGCTGATTGGTTCGAGACTTGTAAATGATGGTGTAATATAAATACACATACGTGAACCGCACTTTAGGCTTACTCACCATCACCGACTATTCATAAACTATTGCCAGCAGCCTGAAATACTGCGTGATGTCTACGGCCGTTCTAGATGGTGAAAATCGGTATATAAGTAGCAGTGAAATATTCTTGTGGTGAAAAAAAAATCTGAATTAGAAATGACAACTCTCCAACACGCGTTATTACAGTGTTAAAAATAAGTTTCTGTTAACTTGTAATATTGGAAGCACCTTGATTTTCTTCACGACACTCTTATTCTAATCATGTGTTATTTTTATAATTGTATATTTACTGATTCATAATAACGTTTAGTACAAAGTCTGCTAAAGGACTGAAATATAGTCAGAAAAACTCGGGACTCGTTTTCAAGGACTGAATTAAAACGAACTGTTCATCAGCCAATGATGAAATTTGTAAAACGTTAGGTAAACAAGCGTAATACTTCAAATGCTGTGGGAGGGAGGGGTATAAAGTACGACTTAATTACTCAGAATAACACATATGTAATTCATTATGAAGGTAATTGAAATCATTTTAACTTTAAAAAAAAAGTGAAGTCCTTTGATTTAGCCTCACTCGATAATGAGGATGAAAAAGCAAACTTCTGTAAGGTTAATGGAAAAATAGCTTTTACAAAAAATGTTGTAATTTTTTTTTCTAGAATCTAGTTTTTATAGAATTGTTGAAAACATTATGCATTTTAAAAACAATTCGAAAGACTGCATTTCAAATATTTTATCTTTCTCAAGTGAACGTCTGTAAACTAGAGAGTGTAACATACCTTTACACCATTCTGATTACCACATTGTTCCGCCTGAATACGTACGATTTCCCTAATTTTGATTCTGTGAAGATGCGGTTTGAGATATTTAATTCCCGCTTTGTCAATAAAGAGTGGTAATAACGAATATCCGCAGAATATACAGTTTTAAAAATTTTTTCAGAATGATCAATGCAGATACACATTTTTTAATATTACAGTAATTAGCTAGATGCTGGTTTTATTAGTTAACCCTTGTATGTTTCTACAGAGTCGGATAAACAAAACAGCCATATTTGGATTCCAGTCCCCTGATGACGCCATAACACGCTGCCAGTCAGCATGAAGAACCGCAATGCGCAGCACACGTGAACATGGCAAGTCCTGCAATTGCTTGTAATGCTAGACTGCAGTTGCAGACAGTAAAACTCGAAGCAACGTGTAAGAACGAAAGGGAGAGTTGGGCACTTATATAAGAACCGTTTCTCGTCTAGTTTGATTTATTAGTTATACCAACATTAATTAATATACAATGTATCGCAAATTTACAACACACTTCTCTAACACTTGTAGACTGATACTACATATCTGTTAGTAAATTTGAAGTTCCTAGTCCCGAGAACACCTATTTACAGACAGCACGTGAGATCGAGTTACCATCGGTACATCATTGTATTGAGATACCTACAGCTAAATTAGCAAGTATTTATACAAATCGATACTGCTGTTGGTTTTGGCCCTGGGGTAGCTTTGGTTGATTTACATTATACATCATTATAAAATTTTAAATACTTCTAATTTAAAAGATTGTAAGTAGGCCTGTTAAAATCAGATAGACTTAATATCATATTACTGTTTAGCGAAGTAAGTAATAGTAGTATTCATAGAATATTAGCTTTCACTTACATCTGTTTCAATATAGTTCTGTTAGTTCACATTGATTTGACTTTACCGGCTATATGTACAACTGATTAGTTGCGGGATTTAAAAAATGTTTTAAGGTATATTGATAAAAAAAACAAAAACATTTCAGTTAATTCTAAAGTAGTATTCCACTATACCGTTAGCGGCAAGTTTACGGACTTTAAACAACGATAAATTGTGGTGTTCGATTCCCCGCGATGGATAGCCAAGTTTGTAGCTTTTACATAGAGAAAACAATAGCATCACTACACCGCCCTCTGCTGGCAGTTTTTACCCTACGGAAATTTATCGTTGACGTAGTATTACAATCTCTCATTAAAGTACCATCAACAATATTGTGAGCATTAAGAAGATACTAGACGTTGATTTAAAATTACATCTTAAAGTGTTTGTTTTTAACATTTCACAAAACAAATAATTTTTCCCAAGACATTCGGTAGATATACCTGCCAAAGCTGACATCTGAGATCAATAGCTTTGACGTCACAAAGAAGCCCTTCTCTTGTTGGATGTAGTTGTCATACGTAAGGATATTTGTTTCTTTCTTTGTTTTATAGCAGAGTCACACTGGGCTATCTGCAGTGTTCACTGCGTGGATCGAATCCCGGATTTTAGTGTTGCAAGTCTGTATACTTACCGCTGCCCCACCGTAAGGAAATCAAACATATTAAGAGGATACAATAAAATATTTTTCATACTATAATTATCATGCTCATAAAGCCTTTTTTTAAGTTTCTATGGCTATTCACTACTATTTAATTGTTGTATAAGTGAGTGAGAAAATGAAACTGATAAGAATTCGTAGATGTAGCCTAGACCTGATTATTTTCTAAGACACTAATTTTTGAAACGTGTACACTCGTTAATTAAAGGTGTGACATATAATCTGTACCTTCCCCCTCTTTATATTCTGCGTTTCTTTTGATTTTCTTAGGTAGCTCTGAATTGTTAATTTTTCAATAATCACGAAGTGACATTAATATACGAAATTTTAATGTTTTTGTATCAGCGTGAAAGTATCAGGCATATAAGAGTAATTTCTGGTATCATGTACATAAGAGATACAAGTTTTATTTTCATTTTTATCAGTTTCATGAATATCGTACAGACGGCTTCTTAATGGCATTTTTTTTTTTTCTGAATCACTGAGTAAACATGTTTCCTATTGTTTCGTGAAATGTCTGGCATGACGCGGTGTTTACGAATTTCGTCACCGAGCGTGCTTGGCCTTTAAGCCGTGGGGGCATTATAATGTGAAGGTCTATCCCACTTTTCGTTATTAAAAGAGTAGCTCAAGAATTGGCGGTGGATTGTGTTGACTAGCTGCCTTACTTTTTAGTCTTACCACTTCTAAGTTGGGTACGACTAGCACAGAAAACCCTCGAGTAGCTTTGCGTAAAATTCAACATACAATCAATTTCGCAAAATTTTATGGTGGAAGTGTTGTATGAAGTCCTGTAGTTGCTAACTCGAGGGGCGCCGGTCCTGGTCACAATTAGACTCATTAGAAGCTGCAATTATGAACTAAAAAGAGCTCTTAGGTCCAAAAAGTGTTAATTTTGTGTATCTTATAAATGATTTGATATCGTTAGACGGGTCCCTGGTCACAAAAAATGTTTAACCTTATAAATCTCACAAGACGACCTTTCATGAATTTGTTCTAAGATAGGTCAAGCAGGCAAATGGGCTTCGGAATTAAATCCCCGTAGCAGCTGCTATACAGCACCTATATGGACACTACTAATTTTTCTAGATTTTCACAGCATCAGAAGGCATGGGCAAATCCAGAGACCCATAAGGAGGAGAGGGAGGGTCGTAGATAAAAATGTACATTTACTAAATTGAGAATAATGACTCAATGACTTCGATGTAACATATTCTGAAAGAAAATTGAAAATTATTTATAACTAATATGAGAGATAAAAATAAATCCGAATAAAATTTTCCTGGTTTTCGTATGAACCGAATTCTCTTATATATAAAAAAAAAATATTGTTATGCCAAAGGGGAGAGTCGCCTCCTCTGGATCCGCCTGTGTGAACTGACTAGATGTTTTTTACTTGAAATAGTCCCATAAACTGATCAAGGGAGCACGAAAGCATACATTTACTTCCAATAAGTGTTGAGTACAATCAAAAGCTTTAGCCATCAATGAATTAAAGTAACAATGATGATAATTCTCCTATTAAAGCATTGTTGGTGAAAAGGATATTAAACTAAGATCTGACGAGTCGGTAAAAAAAAAGAAGAAAAACAATGTGATTCATCTTGTTTGTATACATGGAAGGAGCTTTATAAGGAAGAAAATGCATTTTTTGCTTAAAATCATCCGAAAGAAAGTTTGTATGTTGTGGCTGAAAACGCCCAAGCGTTGGCAGTAGCCTCCCAGAAAAGTTAAATCCCCTTCAATGAATTTTAATGTGGGCGAGAGGAAACCACTCACAAGTGACGTGTATTGGAAGTGGAAACACACCTGGTTGCACGTGGAGACCTGCTTTAATCAGAAGCACCCCAAAATAAGCAATTTTAAACTTCCACATCTAGTAAAGAGAGAGAGGGGGGAAAAAAGGACAAGATGTGACAAATAGAAACATTCTGTTTTCAAGATTATATAAATGTCACATGCTGAAATTTATCCTGTATTAGTGGCTAAAAAGTATTTTAGTTCTGTATATGTAGGAGCTATGATTAACAAATATGGCAAACAGGTTAAGCCTCCCACACGCCCACCCTCATTTTTTTTTAAAGAATGAGAATAGCTTGTCTTTTTCTTAACCTTGTAATTTTTTTTATTGTTATCGAAGTTGAGTTTTATTATTGTTATATATATATATATAGTATTTGTTATTTTTTTTTCATAATAACTAACGTAAAATACTGAGGATCACTGTATGTGGTGAAAAAGGCAGTAATTGGTCTCGGGTCTCCTTGTTAGAAAGGCAGATGTGATATCTCCTTTTCAGTCACCATTTAGAATTTACATTGAGAAAATAATTATTACTCTCTTAAGTGTAAATCTAAACAGAAGTAAAGCGTGTTTAATTTTTGTAAAATATCAGACTACTGAAGCAAAACACATCATTTGGCTTAAACTACATCATTTTTATGTTCCCCCAATGGCACAGCGGTATGTCTGCGTACTAACAACGCTACAAACGGATTTTGATACCCGTGGTGAGCAGAGCGCAGAAAACCCATTGTGTAGCTTTGTGCTTATTTACAAAGAAAGGCATAATTTTTATATTTCTCCTACCAATTTAATGAAAAAGTGCAATATTTTGATGTTTAGGTTCAAGTTTACTAATATAAATAAAGTTCAACAAAGTTATGTAAAAATAGAAAACAGTCGAGAAAAAGGAAAGAATCATCAAATAAAAAAGTAAGATTATTGAAAGTTCCGTAACATTACAGTATCACCCAAGGCTTGGATCTGCGTTTAGACAAAATTTTAAAAACAAGTTTGATCCTTCAACCTCACAAACTTACAAGCTCACGAGAGCTCAGCAATAAGTTTGAGAGTTATAACGCTAAAATTCACAGTTCGATCCTTACACTGAAGCACACGCAGATAATCCATCTTGTTGCTTTGTCTTTAAATCAGTATTGGTATTTTGCATTAATGACAAAGCTACTAAGGCTATCTGTCGACGTCCCTAATTTTGAACTATATACTAACCAGAGAGAAGGCAGTCAGTCAGCAACACCCTACCATCCATGCTAAGGGATTGACTGTTACTCTTATACCACACTCGCAGTTAAATGTTCGGGGAATATTTTGTGGTATCGCACGAATTAGAATTAAATTCGTCAGCTCAGAAATCCGGAACTCTACCACAAGGACAAATCACGCTCTTGTGTTTAAAAAAATTAACACTTCTTACAACTTGAAGTTGTATAATATTTTATATCACTAGAAGTCGTCACACTTTTTTCAATATTACATATTAATATTTGTCTTTAAATATGTTGTTTTTTTTTTCAGAAAGAAAGTTGTACGATTAATAATATTTAGAAGTTTTTTATATTTTTATCTTATGTGCTCTTCGGTTTTAAAAATCACGAACTAAATCAGGTTACATCAACTTTTGCTATCTCATCTTTGTTGCAGTTGTTGAACATCAACTTCTAGCGTTAGTAATTTTACCACGTGCTTCTTCATCCTTATGTCGTCGTCCATTTGGACTTTTCATTTGTTTTTAACTTTAGCGTCACGAAAATTATAGCCTACATAATGAAATCAACTGGTACAGTTATGGTGATGAGGCGAACATTAACAGATTAAGGATGGGGTCATGCTACGTCATACTCACCTGGTAATACATGACGTAAGCCGAGATAGCTCGGAATAATCTTATTTATAAAGCTAACCTACTTAGGAGATTTAATATAAAAGACATCATGCAGGTCATAAAGAAGTTTGAAATTGGGTGACCCAAATGTTGTTAATAAGAGAGTGACGAGAATGGTATTCCTAAGGTGACGAAAGGTATAATAACACCAGCTTTCTATACTCCTTTTCAAGACAATCTAATTTCTGACTTAAAAAT